AGGAGAAGGAGAAGGAGAAGGAGAAGGAGAAGGAGGAGAAGGAGGAGAAGAAGGAGAAGAAGGAGAAGAAGGAGAAGGAGAAGGGACTCGATCGGTGAATAAAAATGCCAAATCCAGTCTAAACATCTGGCTGACTGTGCAACCAACCAGCATCATCACCAACACCACCATATTTCACTGGGCCATAATGCAGTTTCATTTGGGCTTACTCTGTTTTCTGAACCCTGACAGTGTGGTTTGCAAACCATGCTTTATATTGTACTCCGCAACGTAAACACACATTAAACCATGATCCTGTGAACTGTTGCTTGGTATGTCGTGTGAACACCACCACTTTGCATGCAACCCTGGGAACCGGTTCAAGAGGGCAAATAAAATACGGGGGCGGGGGGAGAAGCGACATTGTAACCCAGATGCAACCTACCCGACTTTCATTAAACTGGCTTTCTTTCAAGGCTAAACTCTTCCAAAACAACAAGATGTGGTTGTTTTCTGGTATAATCTTTAAGGCATCCGGTGCAGCCAGGGAAACTGGAACAGAAAGGAGAGAGACAGGCGGATACCGCCAGTAAATGTAATAGCGACTTATTAGTAAATGCAGAAAAAGGACCCATTGAATTCAATGGGGCTTGCACTCTGGAAGATGACACGTTCAGCACAACATGCTTACACCAAAAGGTTTCAGCCTTACCTGTGTTAATTTTCAAGCTGGCTTCTTTGCTCATGTTTCCTAGCTGTATAATGATGTGGTACTTTCCACCCGGGTCCAATTTTTTGATGGTATATTCCACCGTGCTGTTTCGCGTTTTCACCTTATAGATGCGATCTGTCTTTCTTATTAAATCTTTCACAGCCACAGCGTACAACTGGGGAGAAGCAAAGGTGGAAACAAGGGCTGTGGAGATGCAATTTCCCCCAACGCCCAACGTGAAATATTACATTCCAGCTGGAGCATCTCCTTAGGGCAGTGTTTTTCAACCTTGGCCACTTTAAGATGTGTGGACTTCAGCTCCCAGAATTCCTCAGCCAGCATGCTAGCTTTCCTTAGGGGGAAAGAGCTCCATTGAGAGTTTGGCTGAGAAAAGCTACTTCCCTTCCAGAATGGTCTTGGTAATTAATCATGGAATCAAAAGTTAGCATCCTATGTTGAACCCAACCCCTCTGGCCCTGGGCATAGGCCCATGGCTCCATGTTTATGGATCAGATCAATGGTGTCTCTGGGCTGGTGTTCTGCCTTGTGAGGACCACCATCAGCAAGGTCCCTCTGTGAGGCCAAAGCAAGGCAGCAGTGAATGTATCTGCCCAAGACTGGTGATGTCGTCAATACAACAGTTCTACTTTATCTATCAAGGCTAACCATGATCCAAAGTCTTCTAATTGAAGCTAACAAGGCTGGACATACATCCTTTCCCTTCCAAAAGAAGAAAGGTCTAAGTGCTGTGCCAAGACCATGATCGTGAGTCCCCAACAGGATTGACGTGGCCCAAGCTTGGAACGGCACAACCCCCTTACCATATCTTGGTCGGGGGAATCGTAAGGTGACTCCCACTTAATGATGGCAAATGTTTTTGCCAGGTGGACAGAGTGAAGGTGTCGAGGGGGAAGGCGATTGTCAGGAATCATCTTCACAACAATGTAATCCGATGGTGGTCCTTGGTATGGAGAAATAACTCGCACCTGGAAGAAATGAGGTGTCAGTGGAGCAACTCAGTGGAGTCACACATGCTGAAAAGCACAATGTGGATTTTCCAGACCATGAAGCATAGCTTGAATCAAGCCAGCATGGACTATTTGATCTGGTTTAGTTTCTTTGCAAGCCAGTGATTTTCATTCTTTCATAACCTATGTCCCACCAGCCACTCAGTCAAAGAACCTGGATCCCACCGTGATAGAAAGACAAAGCTCCCTCTAAACTAACAGAGCATGTTGGACAAATCATGGTTAAACTACAGCTTAGTGCAACGTACAACCCCACTCAATCATCTGATTAAAGGAAACCTGTCAGATATTCTCTCTGATCTGCATTAAGGTGATTTAGCTGGGTTTTTTTAGACATTATTTTTCAAAAATAATTGATTAGAAGTTTATCCTTACCAGGAATAAGTACTGCTCATCCCTGTTAACAATCACAGTAATGTTGTGTAGAGCGGTAGTTGCATTGCTAGGATTACGGTAGAGTTCCAAGAAAGAGGTGGCATAAAATATGCCATACAGCTGCCCGGGGGGAAGGGGGGTGCAGGGAGAGGAAGTAAGGGAGAACAAATTAGCATGCTGCTTCTGCTATTCTGCAAATAGCATCCCAGAATCCTTTAGCCCCAGGGTTTTCAGGCCATGGAACCTTTAAGTGAAAGAAAAAATTCCCAGGACCCCCAATCCACAAAATGGCAGCCATAGCATGTTTTTTGCAGGAAACAAGCCCCATCCTTTCCATTTGAGTGATGCCCCCCCCCCGCTTAGTCTCTTGTGAAACCACATCACGTTCTGACGGAACTCCAGGGTTCTGCAGAACATAGTTTGAAATACCTTGCTCCAGCTTATTTTGTTTGTTTTTTAAGAATTAAGACTGATGTCACTCATAGGAGAGTGTATGATAAACTCAGCCACTCCCCTAAATTTAGAAAGTAGTCTACTTTCTAATTCTTGAATGACCAAGGATTACAAGTGAAACGGGGGAGGAATTGTAAGACATGCCAAGAAGTTAGGGCCAAGTGACCCATTTGCGGGGAAAGGGGAAAACCAGAATTCCCCATTTACTTTTAGTGCTTTCCAATCATTGTTATGGCAGATCCGCCATGGCCTAATTCAAGAGGGGGTTGCTTTTGATTTGTATCCAATTCTGCTTGACTCAGGGGAACACCAATGGTTATACCACCTTCCTTTTTTATTTACGTTTCAAGAGAGCTGCAAAACCTTTCCTTCAAAGCGATTCAAGCACGAGACTGTGAATCTCCCTCTCTTTAACTGTAAAATTGTGGTTTGTACAGAAAACTGGCTCTTTCAAACAGCTTGAGAGTGTTACAAGCTTGGAACATGGTTTTATGCCTCCAACAGAGCTGTTCTAGGCTCAAGACAGCCCATTTTGCACTCAAAATGGGAAAATTCTGGATTCAAAACAATTCCAAAACTAACCTTACGCATAGTCCTACTTTCCCACATAGACAAATGTATGGTCAATTTGCATTGCAGTGATTATTTACTTATACCTGGGAGGAAAGGGTGTGAAATGCATGTGCTAGATCTTCAGTGTGCTTCTTGGCCCAATTAGGAATATAAGTAGACCTTGTTTAGCAACCACAGTTGGGGCTCGGTCGTTAAGCAAAGCAGTCACTAAGTGAAACAGTGACTGTGCTTATGATCTGACTTCAGATTTCCTTTGCTTGACTGAACTGTGAAGGTCATAAATGTGAGGACTGGTTGCAAAGTTACTTTTGCATCACCATCATAACTGCGAACAGTCGCTGTCCAAGGCAATCACTAAACGAGGACAACTTGTACAGAAAGCTGTCTCACAGAGAGACTGTTGGTCCAACTCTGTATTGCTGACATCAGGAGTATACGTTCATCCCCACCACCACCAAGAAAAGAACTCCCAAAACTTTGACTGAATGGGGAAATTCTTAAATGCGTGGGATAAATCAAAGAAATTGCATTTTTACCACATTCCTTGGACCACTCCAGTTGCACTCCACAGCTGTCTGGTTGACAGCTTTGGCTTTCAGGCTGGGTGGGGATGGCCTCGTACCGCGTGTCACCACATGTGCAAAGGAGAGGGGGCTGTCACCCAGTTCCGTCTTGGCCCAGGCAGAAATTTCATATGGTGTCTGAGCAGTCAAGTTCCTCACTGAAAAAGAAAAAAGTGAATTAACTGGAGATCACAGATACCTCCTACCCCCACAAAAAAATGGTTTTAAAATGAGTCTGACCCACTATTTCAGGTCAAACTTTTAATGGGTGGGGGGAGGGTCCTGAAGTCTGCGCAAAAACTATTTTAAAATTGGTTGACATCTTGCAAAATCAATCCATTCCCAGATTTCAGCAGTCTCATGTGAGACTGCCCAAATCTAGCAGGAAATGTCAGGTAGCTTCAATCTTTTTTTTTTTTGTGAAGAATTAGAGTTAATCTGAAGGTTCTTTAGAGGTGTCAGAGGCACCCTGGCCAGTCTCTGCAATTCAAGGTCAGTGGCCTCAGCCAAAGAAATGTAATTTATTGCCATATTTTGCTGGGAAAGGCAATCTTCTACCTTCATCAATACCTGTTGGGCAGTAGAACACCTACTCTACTTTGTTTATGTTGGGAATCTTTATTTCCCACATTCCACCTTTCTTCCAAGAGTTCAAGAGGACTCATAAACTGCACTCTTTCCCCAAAAAGTAATCTACCAACTGGGTAGGTTAGGTGAGACAGAGTGACTGAGCAGAAGTCATTGGTGAGCATCCATGGAGGCTAATATTTTGCCCAAAGGGTGATCAAAACTGTTCTGCACATTTTATTATATTGCCCCTTTTAGGTTGGCACAGAGTCAGAGTTGATAACCCCACATTTAAGTAAATGTGCTGGTCCTTCTGATCCATTTTACCTATAGTTTTTACTTCCAGGTATTCATGATTCTGTGGAGTCCTTGGGGTTCTCTGAGCTGGGTTGTTTTCTTGCAAACGTTTCATTACTTCATTACTGAAGATGTTACCTGGCCGAGTAATGAAACATTTGCAAGAAAACAACCCAGCTCAGAGAGCACCAAGGACTCCACAGTTCAACCCTGAGCGACACATATTCTTTTCTATTGATTCATGATTGTTACTCTAAATGTAGCTAAATTCTGCTATGCAAAGCATGCAACTGATACAGCCTGTTCATTTTACAATTTGTGTTATATACTGTATATATACACACACACACACATACTGCTTTATTATGTGCTAGCCTTTGATCATAATAGAGAAATTTGGATTCAATTCAACTCAATTCGAGTGTCCATGGCCAAGGGTGGATTAGAAACTGGATCTCCTTTTTCTCTTGTACTTTTCCTGTGATAATCTTACCTGTTTGCGCTGACTTTCCCCCATCTATGAAGAATGATCTTTTCTCTTGCCTGTGGGTGTCAAAAGTCCAGAAAATTTTCACAGCGTAGCCGTTCACCTGTCAGCCAGCAGCACAAAATGTGTGAGACAGACATGTAAGTATCTGATCGATTCTTGGGTGGTTTTGTTTTACATGATTGGAATAAAAGGGCCCTGTCACCAAAAAGCAATTTTTATAAAGGAAAACCTGTCAAGCTATTTGAAAACACAGAAATATTATGAATCTGAAAAATGGCTGAGGACAAGGAGCTTTGACTTCTCTCATTTGCTCAAGGAGTGGGCTGGCCCATAAGCTGACTTACATCTGAGAAAAACCTGTACAGGCAACAGATAAAGGATCATTTTGAACAGAATTAAAATTAGATGACATTAGGGACAAAATCTCATCTTGACTACCTAGATCAATGTTTCTCAACCTTGGGAACTTTAAGATGGGTGGACTTCAATTCCCAGAATCCCCCAGCCAGCATGGCTGGCTGGGGAATTCTGGGAGTTGAAGTCCACCCAACTTAAAGTTCCCAAGGTTGAGAAACATTGATCTAGATTCTAGCTTCAAGAATTACTTTATGTAGAATTAGTATAATTAAACATTCTTCTGCCCAGTTGTAAACTGGTATCATAAACACCAAACTGCACACACACACACACACACACACACAACCATTTTCCCCTATCCTTCCCCAAATACTACTATATTTTTATTTTCAATTGCTCCATCTTAGGGTGTAGCATCTGGGGATCAACATTATAGATGGTTAGAGGGGGCAATTAAAAAAAAAAAAAGAATATATCTCACCTGAATATTAGCTTCTAGTCTGAGGGTAAAGCTTATTGAGTTTTCATCATAACTATCAATATGGATAGTAGGAGGAGGAATAACTGGAGTCAAAAGAGAGAAAGAGGAAAGGAGAACTGGCATCAGATTTGACATTGTGATACCACCTCCATGAAACAGACATAAAGAGATTCCAATTTACCGTAAGGACATCAGAAGGATGACCAGGGCTCTTTGCTTAATGTGCTTTTTCATGGGTCCCAGAGCCCCTTCTGAATATTTATTTATCATATTTATATTTAAATTAGCAGCACACGTTCCCACCATGCGGCAGTTATGCCCTGTAATTAAGCAAAGCATCCTTTGAGTGTCAACTCAAAGCCTAGCAATTTCATGGACATGAGGGGTTTGGGGGCAACAATATGGAAGTGCTTTCCATTGTCTTCTTCAAGGAGGTGCTTTTCCTCTGTAACAGCCCTGGGATTTCTCTCATCCAAGTAAGAGCCAAGGCAGATCTCCTGAGCTTTTTGAGATCAGCCAAGGTTGGGTAGATGCTGCCATCTAGCTGTGTTTGCCACATCATCAACTCTTCTCCTTCTTCTGGACAAGTCCTTGCCATTTTCTTGGCAACATTTTCAGAAGAGGTTTTTCCAGAACCTTCTTCCTAGACTGGGAGGGAGCAACTGGCCCAAGGTCAGCTAGCTAGCTTCGTGCCTAAGAGAGGACTAGATTTCATGGTTTCCTGTTTCTATCCTGGTGCTTTTAGCCATTACACCACATTGGCTCTCATGATCTCTTTAGTTCATTTCTGCCCCTACCCACCCAGGTAAATGTCTTCTCTTCATTCCATCCATTCATCTTTCAGCCAGGTGTCCTCTAAGTTATTGTTCTGCTCCTTTGAGTCAGCCTAACCTTCTGATGACTACATAGACAAGTCCTTGCAGGTTTCTTGGCAACATTTTTGGAAATGATTTGCCACTGCCTTTTTCTTAGGGCTGAGAGAGAGGGACTGGCCCATCATCCAACTGGCTCCATGCCTAAGGCAGGGCTAAAACTCACTGTCTCCTGGTATCTAACCAAGTGCCTTTAATTACTAGACCAAACTGGCTCATAATTAAGACAGATTTAAAAAAAAAATCCCTTGCCCACATAAAGAAACAGAAAAAAACCAGTCCCACCTTCATGTTAGTGAGCAAAGGTTTAACTAACATGGAACATAAGTCTGGGAAAAGAAAGTCAATGCATTTAATATAACAAGTTATTATTTACAACAGAAGCAGGTCATTAGCCACCAAGGATGACTTGGTAATTGGCATATTGAACGAAAAGGAGCAAGTGGATTTTCTCAAGGCTAAATGATGAATGCATTAATCGTAAATCAACCAAACAGGAGAGTAAGAGAAATTTTATTAAAGGCCAGAACCATTTAAGGATTTGGAGTTTCCTCTCCTGTCCCAACCCCAGCATCTAATGCAATGAAAGGGTCCAAGAAATTAATTCCTGAAAGGTTTACCTTTGCCTTTTATAGTTCGTATGGATTTGGAATCGCTCCAATTTCCCACTCCGCGGCTTGTTACTGCAGCAACCTTTTCAAACCAGAAGGCTTGTTAAAATAGGCAAGAAAGTATCCTGGATAAAACAGCTATTTTTAAAACAATATGAAAGCCAAGGGAGGTTATAAGTGATGGGAGGGAGGGAGGCAAAGATGCCTTTTTCATTGTAATTCTGCTGGAAACGCTGAGTGATCAAAGACAGAATAATTCCCACCTTTCTCAATGGGGTAGCTTCCCAAGTGTAGGGACTACAAACCCCAGGATCCCCAGCCAGTGCAACCCAAAGGCATCAAGTTTGGGAAGGCCACTTCAAGAAGCAAGAAGCCTCCAACCACTTGTGCCAAGTGATGGATCCCAGCAGCCACAGGGAGACTGTGCTTCTAACCACTGGTGCCCATGTGGACCTTGGGGCTCAAGGGCCTCCGCATCCACAGGCAAACTGTGGTGGAGGAAGATGATGATGGCTAAGCACACAGAAAATCCCCAGACAATCACGGGTTTCTCTGGTCAAAGGAACTACCCAAGACTGCAGAGTTTCTCCATCAGGGAAATGTAAGAGAGGAAGAGAGCCAGAAAGAGAGTCCAACGTCTTGCTCGATACAAGAAATCTGGAAGACATTCCCAAAAGAAATTCCTACAAGAACAAGACATCTCCTGCTCTACTTAACTGGCTCCACTGTCAAACAACTCTGATCGTTAAGGTTCTACCAAAATCTGTCCTTCTGTGACTTGGCTGCATTAGACTGCATCCTGTCCTATAAATGTGTGTTCTCTTTGGGACGACAGAATAGAAATCTCCTAGTTCTATAGGCAAAGATCATTTAGTGCTAGTAAAGAGCTAATAAAGTGAAACATCTACTCACTCTGAAAACATATAAGGCGTTGACCTGCAACATCTCAATTTCTGAATAGTTAGTGGGCGCCCTCATGGAAGACCATTCCTTTGATCCGGTTCTGCTGTATTCCACCTACCAGGACGGAAAAACAGGGGCAACCATCTCCTTGCTAAAGTCACATTTCAGCAGGCTAAATGTTTAAAATCCTGCCCTAACCCCAGATGAAGGGTTTGAATCTGCAGGTTTGACTTCATACATTTGTGGAGTGAAACTTCAATTTAACAATTCATGGGAGGGGAAATGGCACCCCTATCCTTGAATGTCTGTTAAAACCAATTTTCCATCACTTGAGTCAGTTTATATCAACGTACACAAGGAGGCAATGTACTTCATCTGCATAATAATGTAAGTTTGCATCAATTTATGTAATTTTAAAAAGGATGTAAATCGATGCAAACGATGTTAATTTATGTGAATCCCCGACTTCTTTGGAGAGACTTTGGCCGTTAGTTTAAGGTGAGGTCCGAACACAAATTTTGATTGTTGGATTCAGAGCCTGATGAAGTTAGTCCAGTTACTCTGCTGGAGAAGTTTTGGGGGGGGGGGGGGGGGGGAGGGAACAACCTGATATTGGCCGATGGAAGCTGAAGTCCAAATCAGCTGAAGGGCACCTGGTTGCCTATCTCTGGATGACGTAGCTTGGAATCTTTTGAATATAGCTTTATCTGTGGATTGCTGATGTATTTAATTATGGGATTTATATCCCATGTTGTCAAGGGTGGGAGGCGCTCTCCAGGGACATTTGTCCCTGGAGTGCAGCAGCCTGAAGATGTAGAAAGACCAGGAAGCAGATGCTAAGTACTTCTAAGGCATGAATACTTCAGTTGGCACCTTCCTTGTCCCAGGTTGTACCTTGTGCTCCACTAACTACTTTCAGCAACAAAACACCCATCTGACTGTCCTCAACTCTGAGGAAGCACATGCGCCTGTCCCCAAATCCCTATTTTTGCCAAGATGCCCCTTGGTGGCCAGAGAAAAATAATCCTGAGATACTTACAACATATTCTCTGATCAGCCCATGGGCATTTGCTGGAGGGGCCCACTGGCAAGCCACAGTGCCTTCAGCTTCTTTCTTCAGCTGCAACTGAAGATGGCGGGGGGGATCTGGAACTGGAGAGAGAGAGAAGGTGGGAGGGAAGGAGGAAGGAAGGTAGGTAGATAAGTAGGTCCTGTTGAAACAAGCCAGGGACTCATGAATCCCAGCTTTCTGTATCCCTCAATGGCCAACCAGATACATCAAACTCAGGAGCTTGGAGAACAGAACAACTGTCTTCCTGCCCTGCTGTTACCCAGCCCCTAGTGTGTCCGGTCTGCTGTCCAAGATTCTGGAGACTCCAAAAAGCTATCAACACTAACAGCCACTGATAGACCATTCCTCCAGGCCCATCCATTCTTTGGTAAAGAACACACCAAACAGTTCTTTGGTTACAGACACACGCATGCAGGATGAGGAAGGTAGAAAGAAATGGTATTCATAGCCATGAGAAGTCTGAAAGGACCTCCTTCTGCATCATTCCAGAATGCCAAACACAGAATAATGATCTTAAGGGACAGATTTTTGGTTGAAAATTAGGAAAAAGTTCCCAATTCCCAAAAGTAAGAGTGGTTTGAATGGAACCAAGGTCCCAGAAGGGTTGGTGGCCTCTCTTTGGTTGGAGAGCCTGGATCACCAACTGTAGGGTAAGGCTATTTGGAGATTCCTGCCCTGAACATCTTCCATTTAGAGACCATTCAAAGGTGCAAGACACCTTCTGCTCTGCAACTGCATACTCCGGCTCAAGCAAGATGGGTTTTCATCCCACCATTGCCCCACTCCTGCTGTGAAGAACTGGACTGGCTTACGTCCTTCCGGAGTCCGTAAGACTATGAAATCGTTGGTATTGTACACTTTGCTCAGGCACTGGACTTGAACTTTGACCTGGTACGTGCAATCCGGCTTCAGGACTTTCAAGATGCTGTTGGTTTTGTTGCTGTGAGTTTCAACAGATTTCCATATGCTTTCTCCCACCATCCTAGATTTGGGGGTTGACAAAAACCACAGGCAATATTGAAGCTATTCCGTGCATTAACCATTTGCCTTGAGATCACTATAAATACACTTAATTCCATCCATGTTTGAGTTCGTGCATGCTAAGCATTAATATGGTTAGACTGTTACTTAGTAAGTTGTATGAAACCAGCCACTTCTAGGTTCTTCAACAAAACACAGTTAAGCATGAGCACACTGTGAAGTGCAAACCAGGTCAGTGAAACCATCAACACAAGAAAAAGACATGGCTCAGTTCTGCCTTCTCCACCCTGGGGTCTCCAGCAAGAAAAGCTAATTTTGGGGTGCCACACAGTACTATATAATTTACTACAGATACCATGAATGGAATAGCAGTTGTACTAATAAGAGGTTCCATGTTAGCACACAGGGCCTAATTTTAAGCCTGGGGTCAAGCTCCCTGATGCCAGGATTTACCGATAATGCTAAAATCAGACAATCTACCTGTAATAGATATTGTAGACACAGGAAGCAAGAGGCATCTTCTTTGGCTGAGCCCAGGATAAAGTGATGTTGCCCAAAAAGTCGGCTGTCCATTGCAGGTTCTGAACCTTATAGACAAGAGTATCATCTATGTAAAAAAAAAAAAAATGAAAAAATGTCCGGCTTTGGTTGGGATTGAAAGAAGGGATTGGAAAGAATCAGGGCTGATTCCACTGATGCAGATTATTGCCAGTCCTATGCAGAAACAGTGTGTTGGACTAAAGGCTGC